TCTCTACATCCCTTGCAGGAGGAAAGTCTCTGCTTTCAACACGCTATGGGGCTACACTTGAGGCACCATCAAGAAAGACCAGGCAACCTGAAGAGATGCAAAGGTGGGATTTGTTTGACTTTGTAGCCACATTCATTGTGCACTTGACATTAGGCACTGTTCTAAGTCTTTCCCATGTGTTAACACATTTATTCCGCACAACTCTATGATTAAGGCACTATCATTAATCCCATCTTACAGATGAAGCAACTGAGGCACAGAGAGGTTATGCACCTTTCCTAAAGTTACAAAGTTAGTAAGTGCAGAGCCAGGATTCAAACCAAGATAGGCTACAGAGTTCATATTTGTTTCAATCATTACGCTTTACAGCTTTTCTAAGGGGATTGGCCTATAGCCATAACCCTCCAATCTAAATTCACAGGTAATCCCAGCACTTAGTCATTTTTACTTTTCTTTCCTGGGCCCAGAGCAGACCCTCATGATATGTTTGCTGGTGGATGATGGTTCTACATGGGTCCAGAGTCATATCTACCTTCTAGTAAGTGTCTGGTGCTAAGTTCCTGCTTTCTTCCTAATTAGTCTCTGAAGTCAGAGAGGTGTGGGTTCAATCCCCACATTAGCACTAACTATTTGATTCTGGCAACGTTACTTAACCTCGCCACAGCTCAGTTTCCCCATTGTAATGGAGGGTATAAATGGGAGTATTAAAAATAGCACCTAACTTACAAATGTGAGACTGACAAGACGCAATCCATGGTAAAATGACTGCATGAAGGAAGCAATCATTAAATAGGATCAGCATTAACTCTGATCTTGGGGCAAACTTCAAATGGAGACACTGAGGTAAGGAAGGGCTCCCTCACTTCTCCCTGGGTCTGAGCCTACAGTGGGATTCTCCAGCCTGGGGCCTGGCAAGGGCAGCTCCTCAAAACCCAGAAGCTGCTCACAGATACGGCCAAGCACATAGTCCACGTTCCAGGCAGTAAAATTGGGGGTGGGGTGGGACTTTGAGGATCTCATCAGCTGAGACTGAGCCATTTAGCCTGTCTTCCCACCTTTATAGCCTAGAGGCTGAGGGGGGGGGGTGGATGTTCTCCTACCTTCCATGGGTTTTAACTATAAACTGTAAATTCCCTCTATGGTTTGATATCATCCTTCTATTACTCTTTTATATGTTCTCTTTCAAGTTCCACCTTTCTGAATAACATTAAAAAAATAAAGTTCCTATAAGTCTTTGGCATGAGTTTTCCATTCTGTGTTCAACTTCCTTTTCTTCCCTCTCTTCTTTTGCTTATTAATAAAGTTCCCTTTCTGTGTAACATCATCTTTTCATGCTATAACTTTGTGGGTGTTACAAAAAGGAGAACTGACTCTGGGTGGTGAACACACAATGTGATATATACTGTAGATGATGTATTACAGAATTGTACACCTGAAACCTATGTAATTTTACTGACCATTGTCACCCAATAAACTATAATTTAAAAAAAATTAATTAATTAAAAAAAAAGATATTGTTAAAGGGACAGTAATTATTCTGAAGTTTAATACAGCCAGAGAAAAGATATGATGAAGCTGCAGGTTCCCCAAGGACAGAATGCTGTCATTGTAAGAGGATCTTACAATGGAAGCTTCGCGTGTGTCATTTGTGTTCCAATGCCTTTGAATAAGCTCAGGTCTCTTAGTCTTAAATGGTCCCTTCCTATTTGTTTTTTTGTTTTTCTATTTAGACTTTATTTTTAAGGTTCACAGTGAAATTGAGTGAAAGGTGCAGAGCTTCCCTATATTCCTCTTGTCCCCCAATAAGTATAGCCTCCCCCATTATCAACATCCCTCACCAAAATGGTACATTTGTTACAATTGATAAACTTACATTGACACATCATAATCACCCAAAGTCCACAGTTTACATTATGGTTCATTCTTGGTACTGTACATTGTATCAATTGGACAAATGTATAATGACATTTGGTATCATACAGAGTATTACCCTGCCCTAAAAATCCTCTGTGGTCGGTCTGTTTATCCCTCCCCACCCCAACTCCTCACAATTTCTGATTTTTTACTGTCTCCATAGTTTTGCCTTTTTCAAGGTGTCATATAGTTAGAATCATACAATATGTAGCCTTTTCAGGTTGGCTTCTTTCACTTAGCAATATGCTTTTAAGGCTATTCCATTTCTTTCCATGGCTTAATGGTTCATTTATTTTTAGCACTGCATAATGTTTCCTTGTCTGGATTTATTTATTCATTCTCTTACTGAAGGACATCATGGTTGCTTCCAAGTTTGGGCAATTATGAGGAAAGATGCTCTAAATATCCATGTGTAGGTTTTTGTGTGGACATAAGTTTTCAACTCCATCAGCTAAATACCAAGAAGCAAAATTCTGGATCATATGATAAAGAGTATGTCAAGTTTTGGAAGAAACTACTGAACTGTCTTCCAAAGTGGTGAAACCCGTTTGCATTCCCACCAGCAATGAATGAGTGTTCTTGTTTCTCCACATCCTCATCAGTGTTTGGTGCTGTCAGTGTTCTGAATTTGGACCATTTTTTTGGGTGTGTATTGGTATCTCATTGTTTTAATTCATATTTCCTTGATGACATATGATATGGAGCACCTTTTCATATGCTTATTTGCCAGACGTTTATCTTCCTTGATGAGGTGTCTGTTAAGATCTTTAGGTTGTTTATAATAGGGTTGTTTGCTTTATTTTGTTGAGTTTTAAGAGTTCTTTGTCTATTTTGGAGAACAGGCTTTTACCAGAATGAGTATTTTGCAAATATATTTCTCCCAGTCTGTGGTTTATCTTCTCGTTCTCTTGACATTGTCTTTTGCAGACCAGGCATTTATAATTTTAATAAAGTCCAGCTCATCAATTATTTATTTCATGGGCCATGCCTTTGGTGTTATATCTAGAGTCATCACTATACCGAAACCAAGGTCATCTAGGTTTTCCTTCATGTTGTCTTCTAGGAGTTTCGTAGTTTTGTATTTTACATTCAGGTCTGTGAACCATTTTGAGTTAATTTTTGTGAAGAGAATAAGGGTCTCTGTCTAGGGTTTTTTGGGGTTTGTTTTTGTTTTTTGTTTTGTTTTGTTTTGTTTTTTTGGTATGTGAATCTCCAGCATGATTTGTTGAAGAGACAATCTTTGTTGCATTGTATTGCCTTTGTTCCTTTGTCAAAGATCAGTAGACTATATTTATGTAGGTCTATTTCTGGGATATCTAGTCTGTTCCATTGATCTATTTTTTTTATTCTCTCACCAATACCACACTGTCTTGATTACTGTACCTTTATAGAAAGTCTTGAAGTCAGGTAGTGTCAGTCTTCCAACTTTGTTCTTTTTCAACATTGTGTTGACTATTTGGGGTCTTTTGTCCCTCCATATAAACTTTAGAGTCAGTTTGTTGATATCTACAAAAAAAAAACTTGCAGAGGTTTTGATCGGGATTGCATTGAATCTATAGATCAAGTTGAAGAGAACTGACATCTTGACAATATTGAGTCTTTCTATCATGAACATAAAATATCTCTCCATTTATTTACTTCTTTGATTTCATTTATCAGAGTTTTGTAGTTTTCCTCATATAGATCTTGTACATATTTTGTTAGATTTACACCCAAGTATTTCATTTTTG